CCCAACACCTTGGTTTCTTCTTATTTTTATTTCCTTCCGAGGGTTTTGCTACCAAACAAATGACTGGGAAGCTTTGTCTGGTGAGCTATAGGAGAATCAAGAGGGATTAAAAGGATGTGGAGGCAGATGGGGGGAGCAAAATGTGGTTTCTTATTTTCTTCTTTCTTCTTCTATAAAGAGGAAGTAATTATGGAAGGGAAAGGGAAAATTCTAGCACAGGGAATATAGGATAATGCAGAAAATCCCTTGCTTATCACTAGAAGATATTAATTCCTGCAAGAATATGGGATGAATTGCCCACATGGCTTCAGGCTTCTAATTTTAGGTGCTTCAAAGAGTCCTGGGTGAAAGACAGGCTCCTCCAGGAGCGATTCCGAGGCGGAATACAGTGCACATCTCAATGCACAACTGGGGAGGGACCCTGGCAGCACAGGAGGGCCCTTCAGCATCCACCAGAGCTCTTCAGAGCATGTGCAGCACAAAATCAGCTGCGCCAGAAACTTCCCCAAGTTTCTCTCAGGGATCTCCCCCTTCTCACTCACCCACCAGGTTCATCTGGCTCAAAGCTCAGGCTGCTCTCTGAGAAGTGACATCTCCTGCCATAAGGTGCCTCTGAGCAGAACACTCATCCAGATGAGGTGGAAAAAGCCTGTCAACCCCCAAAAAAACCCCCAAACCAAACACATTTGCTCTAAGGCAAGGCACAGTGAGAGGCCAGAGCCTGAACTGATGCCAAGGGGTGAGTGCCACCAGGCTCTGGGAGCATCGTGTCCTCAGCAAGCAGTGACAGCGCTGGGGAAGGTGCCAGTGACTCAGTGTCCCTTTATTCTGGTCCTTCTCCCCTCAGGGGAAGACTCGGCTGCTGCTCACTGCCACATGCTCCTTTTGCTGTCTTTAATTCGTCTGTTGGCTTTTCCCCTTCTCTCTCCTCATTTTTTCTGGATCTGATCCTAACCTACCGTGCTTTAAAACTCTCCAGGAAGCTCTAGGGAGACAGCCCACGTTGACACCATCCCTGCTGAGCTATGAGATGTGGCTTTTTGCTATTTTCTCTACTTCCCTTGCTTCAGCTGAGCTCTTTTGGAGCAAACTGCTCTCCCTCATCCTCACTTCCTACTTTCTTTCCACTCTTCTTGCCCCTCTCTTATCTTGGCCATCCTGTGGCCACCCAGGGGACTTCTGCCTCCTCCCCGTGCTGTCCCAATCCATGGATCCTGTCCTTCCTTAACTGTCTGCCTCTCTGTGCCTGGAATCTGCCTGTCAGCCTCAAATTGCCTCTCTCCATCACCTCACTCCACATTTCCCTCCTTCCTTGGCTTCCGGCTCCCCTCTCTCCTCCTCCTCTTCCCACACACCTCGCTTTAATTAGAAATACAAAGAAAATGCTTATCACACATGTCTTAATCAGCAACTCGTTCCCCAGCAGGTCCAGAAGGAAAACCCCCCATTCGTCCTCGCTTCTCCCACTTCCCCCACCACCTCCACAGAATTAGGAGGAGAGTGATTAGGGGGAGAGCTCTGTGAAAGGAGGCTGAATGTGATTAACCCAGAGACCTGGAAAAGCTGGAGGGAAGAGCCAAGAGAAACGTGGTGATGTTCAGCAAGGGCTAATTCTGGAATTTCTGGGGGGAAAAAAGAGTCCCTGGCAGCAACTGACTGGGAGAACTGGACCTGGGAGTGCTCAGCAGGCTGAGGATGATATGGCAGCATGTCCTGGCAGCAAAAAATTATCCTGGATTGTGGGGGCAGAAATACAGCCAGGAGATCATGCAAGTGATTATCCCCCTCTAGTCAGAACATTTTAGATAATATTTAGTTGCTGCAATGGGGTTTGAGCCTCTTAATACAAGACACTGATCATAGGGAATGGGTTCAGGTCACTGGGATGGTCAGAGCTGGTCCCTGGTGTGGGATTGGACAATGGGGAAGTGATGGCTTTGGGGGAACCTAACAGCAGTGCCCTGTACCCGTGGGGAGGTTATCAAGGACATAGAACCAGGATCTTCTGGTGGCTGGTGAGAGGACAAGAGACATCAGGTCCAAATTCCAACAGGACACTCATTTTGGGTTACAAGGAAGAAAGGTTTTCCCTCTGAGCAGTCACCATCCCTGGGGTTTTCAGTATCTGAAGCCATCTCAGCTGACCCAGCAGCTGACTCAGCTTGGAGTAGGAGGTTGAGCTAGAAACCTCCTTAGTCCCTTACATCCTTAATAATCCTGGGATCCTGAGACAAGAGCCAAGTGTCAAATGAGGCCGTTCAGATCCAGAACTCTTCCCCAGCCAAAAGTAAGGGAGGAGCAAAGAGAGGCAGCAGGGCTTGGAAAGGGACTCATTTATCAGAGCAGGTTTAGGAGCCAGACTTCAGCAGGTTTCATCCCAGACTCTGGCATTTGATGGGACAAGGAGAGGCTGAAAGCAGGTAATTTTGCAGAGTTAATGCCACCCTATCTTGTCCCCATCCTATGGGTCATTTCTGGGGCTCCTGAAAAGCTTTCCAGGGAATATCTTTGCACCAATCCAGAGATACAAAGGTTGCAGAGTCTCTCATCTCTTCCTGGCAGAGCAGGTTTGAGGCAGATTCTGGGGTGCTGAGACCACAGCATAACAGGCTCCAGATCTGTCCCAAGCCCTCAGGTGATTGACATTAGACTTTTTCTAAACATGGACACAGCGACCCCAAAATCATGTGTTTAGGAAAACTGGGTGAAATTGGAGAAGTAAGCAAGGCAGAGGGCAGTCATGCAGGAAGAAGTGGCATTGGGAGGGTTGCTGGATTAGGAATTCTGTGTTACGCCCTCAGGGTTTGGTCCCTTTCCTGCTCACTGTCCCTCCCTCCCTGCAACCAAACCAAACCCTTCCAGGTCAGCTGCTGCTGCCCTAAGTAATAACCCTCTTGTTCCCTGAACCACCACCTGCTAGGGAGCAGACACGGGCCCTCTGGCACCACATGGATTTGATGGGAAAAAAGGGAATCCTGACCCCTGCCCCTCGTGCCCTTCAACTTAACCTCCACCAGTTTGTGATCCTGCTGTGACCAAATGCCTGGGCTCACCAGGATCTCCTTCCAGCAGGACTTCACTGAAAGACCCTCTGCCTCTTCCTCTTTTTGTTCCTCTGGGACGGCTGAATTCCCACCAGGAAGCACCCAGCCAGGAGCTTTGGGAGTGAAGAGCCATCCTAAACCTCCCTTGGCACACTGCCCAGCAGCCCGAGCACAGGCAGGGCACCCCCACCCCACTGCCAAAAGGCTCAAACCCCCTTTTTAGATTATCCCAATGAATCAGCATCCCAGTGCCTCCGGCCACTGGCACTAGGAAGGGATGAGGAGGCCCAGATGTCCTCAGCACCTCTCTGAGGGTGTTCCGGCAGGGAAACTCTCTCGGATTAGGGAATCCTTTATCTCTGGCTTATGTAAGACCCGGAGACTCCTTTTATGGTTGGCTTTTCCTGCCTTGTCAAGAGCAAAGAACAAATGTAGCTTCATCTGCGCTGGTGGGTTGGCTCACTGATTAAGCATCTGATTCAAAGCTAAGTACAGAAAAGGCTTTTGATGGGCGGATTTAATTCGGTGTAAAAACCAGGATGTCGTCCCCCTCCCTCACCCAATATTCCCAATATTGGTTGGTCTGGAGCAATTAAGCCGCGGGAATGACTCCCACCTACCAAAGCCCGAGAAAGTCCAGAGCTCTCCAATTTGTGCTGAAGTGGCTCCTTTGAGTGTTTCCCCCTCTAGCTTCCCCCCTCCTTTTTACTTTCCCTTTCTCTTCTCTCCCTCTTTTTTTTTTTTTTTTTTTTTTTTTTTTTTTTTTTTTTGGTACCTTTGACTTTCA